TTGTGCCGGTCGACACCCCCTGGACCTGGTTTTGGATAATCATGTTAGTAACTGTGGACCTAAGAAACACGCATTGCTAGAAAGGTGTTAGGGATATGTGGTTCATTTTATGCGAGATTGTCAGGGATAGCAAATGAAAGGGTTGAGAGAGAGTGAAATATTTTATTTTAATTTTTTTTTTCTGTTTATTTTTTAATGAAACCATCTATTTATTTTTCTTCACCTTTCGCATTTTTATGCAATTATATATCTATATATATAAATTACGATGATAAAGTTTTAAGACGCTCTCGTTCATTTTTAATTGACTAATTATATTTGTTTACATTAAATCATATTATTTAGAGTAAAACATACTAGCTTTTCCTCTATTTTATCTTAATTACAGATACTCTTACATATTTTTAAAATCTATATGAATCTCTTTTAAAATTGATAGTGATAAAACACATCTTTCTTTCTACTGTTAAGATTTTATTTTTATCTACTCAATTATTAATCAATTATTAAATTACATGTGTTAGACCAAAATACTTCATTTTTTTAATCACAAATACCACTCTTTAAATATAGAAGCTGTCTAAAATTCATTCAAGTTACCTGAAAAACAAATTTAATACACATTTATTTTACTTTTAAATTTATATTTTAAATTTTTTAGTTAAGAAAAATTATTTATTTAATAATTTTAAATTTTAAGTACATAAGTTTGCTAAAATATATTCTAAACACGTATGTAAAGTAAAAGCTTGATGAAATAGGGATTCAATATAATAAGAGATATTTTTTATAATTTTATTACTCTTAACACGATATTTTAAATTATTTATTTAAATATGATCATATTTATTTAAAATTCTTTAAATTGGTGGATAAAGAGAGTAGACAATTAGATTGTAAGTATGAATTAATAATTTAAAGATTTTAAATATGATTACAAATATTCGTAACGGATGGGGGTTTCAAATTTTATAATCTCTAGCAAAATATTCCTAATAATGTTAAAAATTAGGGTAAAGTATATGTTTTTAAAATAGACCAAAGTTTCTATAGTTTTAGGAAAATGAGGAGATTACTGTATCTTACTTTATAATTTATCATGTGTGGACTACAAATGCTTTTGCATTTTAAGTAATAATATATTTTAAAATATTAGAAAATAAATAAAATTTTTATTTTATATATGTCTTCATTTATTATATGATTTAATAGTTACAATTTTTGAGTTAATAATTATACTATAAATGCAGTTTTTTGATGACCGAGAGGCAGTTTGCGAGCTGGCCAACTGATGGAATATAGATAAAATATAATAAGATTATTTTAATGTTTATGATTATTTTATTTGGATGTGTATAAGGACATTTAATATATTCAATAAATTATTTAAGATTTAATTAAATTTTTTATTTTTTATAAAATAGGATATCTAAGTAAATCTGGATTGTATTTGTTATTTTCTAGAATTTGATTTATTATTATTTTTAATTTTTAAGACTCAATAAATAGTCCTAGTATTTCTCACTGGTAACCATCCGGAATGTATTGGATAAATATTTCACATTTTTCCTACCTTCCCTCCCTCTCTTCCTCCTTTCCCTCGTCTCCCTCTACCCTTCCCATTTCATATGAATTGCTATTACAGCCAAATTCTTACCTCCTCTACCCTTCCCATCTCATATCAATTGCTATTACAGCCAAATTCTTACTTCCCTTTTAACACACACAAACTCTACCCTCTAACGTCATCGCCATAGTCTGTTTACAATTGTCTGGACTCCAGCCACAGCCCCACCACCATCACCTTTAGCGTGGGACGTATTTAGAACCAATTCAATGTAAGGGTTCATATGTAAAGTTATATTATAATGGGGGCCAAAATTAACATTAGTATTTTTAGCAAATGAAAACAACGCAAATTCATAAAAAATTTGGTATTGTTTTGTGTGTGGGGTGGACTAAGGATCAAAATAGGTTAGGAGCTAGATTTTAGTCAAATAAGCCTGAGTTTGTATGATAAATCAAATACCTAACTTACCTAAAGCTTATATAAAATCTTTTCATGGCTCAAGCTTGAGTCTATTTAAAAATAAGCTTTTTAAATAGGCTTACATTTTATTTTAAGTATTTCAAATATACTTTAAGACTATTATAATATATAATATGTAAAGATTTATCAATTATCAACTACAATATAATATAACATTAAAGTAAAACCATTAAAATTAATATATAAGTGTGATTGAAAAATAACTAGAAATAAAAAATGATAGATTGATTAAAAATTAAATAGTGAAATTGATGTGCATGTAATATATTACATATATATATATATATATATATCTATATATAAGTCAGCTTGTTGGACTCATAGATTAAGTTTTAAAAAAATAGGTTTAACTTATTTAACTAAATAGGTTTAATTAAAAATTTAAATTTAACTTGAGCTTATTTAGTAAGTAGGCTAGCCTGGACTTGATATAAATCAAGTTATAGGCTTTTGTTAAAAGCTTGGTGCATTTTTACCATTAAGGGAACCCCTACTTGCCATTGCCCCCAAATATTTCATTGCCAACCATTATCTCATGTGCTATCATCTCATTTTCAGATTCACACATAACAAATACCAGCACATTAAAGAGAAATATTTAAAAAAATTAAAAATATCACGTCATTTATAATCTATTCAATAAAAATATAATATTTAAATGGCATTAAATATAAATTAATTTACTATTAATAATAGTAGAAAAAAAGATAAAAAATTAAATATATATTTTGTTATTTAAATAAAATAAATTTAAAAAAAGTCACATAAAATTTTATCTAAATTACTTAAAATATTTAATTAAATGAATTATAAATAATATGATACACCCAACCTTTACATATTTCTACATGTAAAATTCCTTTTCAGTGTGTGGGCTCGATGCACCACACGTCTTGGCCTTTCACGTCTCAAGACATGATCGAAGTTCCTCATTGAAACATCATATTTAATTTCCATGCCTCCCTGAATTGTGCATCCAATTTAATGCAGAGAAATGGGAGAATGAAAAAAAAGTCTCAAAAAAATAATTTAAATTAAGTATTAAGTATCAAAATTTAAAAATTTATAAGTTTTACTTTAATTTTATAACTTTATTGTGATAAATTTATAATGTGTATTTCAAATTTTAATATAAAAATAAATTTATTTATTTTTCATCCATGTTAAAGTTTATAAAATAAAGTATAAATTTATCATAACGAAGTTATAAAATTAAGATACAAATTTTTAAATTCTTAGAGCTTAATACTTGATAATTTAAATTAATTGATCATCTTAAGACCTATCTATCATTCTCAAATTATAAAATATGTATAAAATATAATTTATTTTAGATGTTTATGTTTATTTTATTAGAATCCTGGAATTTTTTTAAAAAAACTAATATTTAAAATTGGAGATAGTATCATTAATGAATTCAAAATTTCAAATTGGGGTTGAGTTAAACTGTAAAAACACAAAAGCTTCCTTATTATGATTTTATACATACTTATAATTATAATACTACCTCTATAAGGAATATATACATTTTTAAAAAAGTTTTATATTTCAATATATAAAATATTTTACAAAATTATAGTTACTAGTAATATCTATCAAAGTTACTTTCTATTAGAAACAGATAAATAGTATCCGTAAAATACCTAAAATATTAAAATATGCAATTTTAAAAAATGTTATATTTAAAAGAGATACGAAGCATTCAAATGTAGGGAAATAGGTTCCACAATAAATTGTTTATCACAAGTGTGGGGCCCATGTGGCTCCAACCTGTTAATTCTCAAGCTGTCCAAATGAGTTCTTTATCTCCACTCTGTTTAAGATATGCGTGGCTATATTGATAGCCATTCAAGATAATCCCCCGGTCTACATGATACTTTCTCAACTCCAAAATACATTCAAGGAGCTTTTAATAATAATTCATGTACCAATAAATTTTTTTAATAATACATATCTCATTCTAGAAAAAAATTATAGATTTAGTATATACTCCCTCATTTAAAAATATAAAATATTTTTAATCAAATCTTACCCTTTAATAAAATAGTTATCTACTTTTAAATTAACTTTATCTTTTTATATTTATCCTTATTAAATACCCTACAATAAATATAAAGTCATTATCAATAGAAACACTTTTAATAAAAAAAAGTAATGGTTACATCTCAAAAAATTAAAAATACTTTAAATTTTTGAACACCTAACTCTTTAAAAAATATTTTATATTTTTGAATGAAAAGAGTAAGTTTTAATATTCTGCATTTACACCCACAACTTACCTTTATGTTTTTTTTTTGCCAGAAATCAACTTTTATTTTCAAAGACACCTTATGCAAGGTACAGTCGGGACCATTTCCTTTAATATTATATCTTTGTAGGATTGGATAATTAGTAGACGTTTAACTACTTTTCTGGCCAAAATGAAAAAAGAAGTTCAACTACTTGGAAAATATTTTTTTTCCCTTTGAGAAGTAAAAACACGGGTTGTTTTTGCCTTCATTTTTCACAAGTTTATTATTAAATGAGTATTTCTCAAACCCTTATTATTACATTTTTAAAAACGGGAGGAATATTTCTTAAAATAGTTCCATTAAATTATTGCAAGTTTTACTAACTTAAAATCCTTCAAGTCTTATTTATAAGACACTTTTTAAAAATAATTTTTAGTTTAAAATATATAACACCTTACAGTAATTAAATCAATTTTTTTTAATTTTATCCTTTTTTTCATTATCATGAATGTATTTAATATAGTTATTTATTAATTAAAGTCAAAATAAAAATGAGAGTATATCTCACTTTTTATAATATTAATTTTTTTTAAATGTATGAAATAATTGAAAATGTTTTATAATAAGTATAAAAAAAATGTTTAATCTTAATCAGAAAAAAAGTCCTCCTTAATGGCGAGCTATCAACTGCCTTGAACCTGAGTCGTCACTGTTTTCATGAATTTGGGAGAACAACAACTCTTGGCTTTTTCATATTTTTTTCCATCAGATAATATATAATGCCTCAAATAGGCATCCGCTTCCTTCCTTAACTACTTGCTTTCTCAAACTCTCCTTCGTTCCTTCGTCTTCTTCACCTTCACCTCAACTTTCTAATGGTAATCTCTCTCTCTCTCTGTTGATTTTTTTTTTGGTAGTTAAGTTGAATAATATGGCTTCTTTAAGTTTTGTTGATGAATTTCAGATATGATTTGTTTTAAGGAATCTACTAATAAACGATGCAGGAGACAGAAGGGGATAATAAGGTGAGAAAAGTGATACTGGCTAAGCCTTTTTCACTGGAAGCAGAAGCTAATAATGATTATTCAGCTCCCAATCTTCTCCGCCGCATCTTGTCTCTTTTCTCTCATGTCCGCCCTGGATCCGATCTCTCTCACTTCCAGGCATGTCTTCTACCCCAAGTCTATATTCTTCTTATATAAATATATATATATATATATATATCCCTAAAAATATAGTCCAGAAGTAGCGATGAACAACCTGGTGAGCACCGAAATTGAGTGGTTAGCAATGTTTGCATGCGTAATGTACGTACGGAGGATTGATTTGTGTACGATTGATTGTAGCTACCAGCAACGTTCAACTTGCCAAAGTCGCACCTGCAGTGTTATGGGGAACAGATATACTGTACGGCGACGGACTTGCTGGGGAAATGCAACGGTGGAGAGAACCCCTTGGAAAGGTTTATAAATGTGGTGGCCTGGACCATTTCTACCACGCGTCCTCTTGTGATTGGAGCTACTCCTTATAATCCCATTCTCGGTGAGACTCACCATGTCTCTCGCTCCTCTCTTCATTTTTTAGCCGAGCAGGTACCTCCTTCTTTCTTATTATTATATTTGTTATACTCCTTCTTATCGAATTTGGATCTAGTAAACAGCTTAATGAGTGTTCCATATACCACAATAATAATCATTTGATTTAATTAAATAATTATAAAATATTTTATTATATAATATTTATAAAATATCAAATCTCAAATTTTTGAAAGGGGTAACATATGTCAAGAATATTTTAATCATGAAAATTATTTTAAATTTTTAAAAAGAAATATATCTTAATAATTTTTAATTATTAATGAAATTCAAATGGTAATTGAAATACTTATTAAGTAAGTGGACTTCGCTACTTACATAATCCCAATTCCCTTCCTATCCTTGATATAAAGTAATGTTAATCAACTTCTCCGTTATTAAAAATGTTAGTTAGAACCTTAAAATTATATAAAAAATGTAACTCTCCAATTTTATCTTTCCTTGCAATTAATGACCATAGTAATTAAATTATTATCTAGGAATTCAAATCATATACTAAATAAACAAGGATAAAATTAGAAAAGAAAATTAATTACTCTAACTGAGTATCCATTATGGCTTAGGAAAAAGCTTATATATTAAGTAAAAGGAAAATTAATAAAAGTTGGCCTAATTAATAAGAATTTAGCTTACAACCTAAAAGATTGTTGGATTAAATCTCTATAAGTACTCTTTAAGTTTGAATGCATGCCTTGGTAAGCTCCCAAAATTTGACTCATCTAAATTTTTGTTTATTAAAAAAAAAGTAAAAGGATTGACTATCTTTCTCGGTCTTTTTCACTATGGTAAAGAATAAAATACATTACCAATATGTACTCCCTTTATTTTAAATATAAATAAAATTTTAATATGATTTATTGTTTTTTATTGGCAAAATAATAAGTTTAAGTAGTATTTATAACATTTTTTATTAATTGCCTTTCATTGAATGATAGCATCATTAAATTAAAAAATGAAGGATTAATCATAAAGAGATTTTAGTCTGAATTTTTTAATTTTAGACATGATTATTAAAATTAATCAATTTTTTAAAAATTGTAATAGGTAGTTAACATTTCTTTATATTTGAAAACCAAATGAAGAAAGTTTAGCTAAACCTGCTACTAAAACTGTGCGTTTTGATAGTTATTCTGACGCCACGTCATTGGTTCTCGTACCTGTTTCTCGATATCTCATGTACGGCTGCCGTCAATCTAATAATTTTTTGCATTTTGACTAATCCATTTTCATTATTTAAAAATATTTGTTAGTTAGAAAAAAAATTTAAATACTCTCCTGACTATGTGATGGAACTTGAAAGAGGTTCGAAGCAGAAGGTGACATTAAGAAAGAGAAAGGAATGTGAATGGTTTTTGAGAATGACAGCGAATTTTAAAAGTATACTAAATATGTATATAACTTTTATTTATGTAAATTTATTTTGTGGAAAGATAAACAAACTCTTATTGTTATGCCTAATTAAAGACAGTTCTTCTAAAATATTTTTCACATACAAAGTTTGAATTTTTGATTCTGTTTAAGGTGAACCTGCTCCTTTCCCTTTATTCAACCACAGTTTTTAATTTTTTTTATATGATTATATGAACAAATCTAATTTGAATATTTCCGAACTCAATTAAAGGTAATCATTTCAAAAACATTTTTTGAATTTACATGGTTTCAAATTCAAAATCTTATATTTATCTGAGCATAACTATTAAAAAAAAAAACACATAAGATTATAGCTAACGATGAACTCAGCACATGATGAATATTTTTGTGGAAAAGTCCAAAAAGTAAAATCTAGTGGGCATTGGCCCAAACCCAACTTGCCTATGCCACGATTCCCGAATGAGTATTATTTATGAGGGTATATTTATTAATTTAATTGCTTTGTTTTGTCTCCTAATTTTCTTGGTTATAAAAAATACTGCCTCCATTTAAAAATAAATAATATTTTTAAAAAATTAAATGTTAAAAAATATAAGACATTTTTAATCTTTTGGGATACAATCATTATTTTTTTTTTCAAAATTGCTCATATTAATAATGACTTTATATTTATTATAGGGTGTTTAATAGAGGTAAATATGAAAAAGTATGATTAGTTTGAAAGTAAGTAATTACTCTATTAGAAGGTAAGATTCTGTTAAAAATGCTTTATATTTTTAAGTAGAAGGAGTATTTATTTATTTAATTTACCTTCGTTCTTTGCCAATGTTTTCTTGCTTTCATTTTAGGTATCACACCACCCTCCAGTTTCAGCACTCCATGCAACTGACGAGAAGGAAAACATAGAAATTATATGGTGCAACCAAGCCGTTCCAAAGTTTCATGGTATCTCTTCTTTTATTTTTCATAACATTATTTTGGAAAAATTACAAACAAGTCTCATATAAAAAATTATTTATGAATAAGTTTCATAAAATTTTGAAAATATACTCAAATCTGGTGGGACTTAATTGTAATTAAATTATCATTTAAAATGATACAAATGTCCAGAACTCTCACCCCTTTTACCAGTGTTGACTGACCACCATGTGGTCATTAACCAGTCACTGCCTAGCATTAATTAGATAAAAATATTTTTATTAAAATCTTAATACTTTAATGTTTACAAGTTAACATTACATATTAGCAAATATACAAGTTAGGCTTATAAATTAAGATGTTTAACTTATAAATTTGAGAAGATAACTTGCTAAGTAAGAAGTTTGAGCTGTAAATCTTGAAGAATTTACTTACAAATATGTGATGTTTGACTTGTAAATATAAATAATTCAATAAAAATATTTTTTTTAAAAAAATTATTTTTGACTAGCCATTGATCAAAGCTAGCCAATGACTACAGTGGTTGATCAACATTAGTTAAAGGACAAGAGTCCAAGGGTATTTGTGTTATATTACATGATAAATCAATTACAATCAAATCTCATGAGACTAAGTATATGTTCACAAGTTTGTAAGACTTATTTATAGACAATTTTTTTTATATGGACCTATTCATAATTTTTTCCATTATTTTTCTATGTGTATATGTATAACTCTTACATTAACCGCGTGTCTTATGCCAAATTTTGTAAGAAATATGGCTGTGGTATAAAATCTGACGCTCACTGAGGAGAATTTCATGTTCGAATTTTGCAAATAGGAATTTTTTTTTTCAAATATTTTACTCTCAATAATAAAGACAAATCATCATAAGTAAGCCGAATGCGGATCAAAATTAATAAGAGTTATAAAATGATGATGATGATGATCATGCAGGGACTTCAGTGGAAGCTAAAGGGGTGGGCAAAAGGACGTTGAAACTGATGAAGCATGGAGAAACTTATGAGATGAATTCTCCAAATCTCTCTCTTAGGTTCCTTCCATTTCTTGGAATTGATTGGGTTGGCAATGCTAGTGTACGATGCAGAGAGACAGGATTTGTGGCTGATTTATGCTACAAAAGTCGATCTTTCTTAGGTTTCAAGGCAAATCACAGATCCATCAAAGAGAAGATTCTTGACTCTTCCTCTTCCAAAGTTTTGTATGATCTTGATGGCCATTGGGATAGGTCATGATTTTTCTTTTATGTTTCTCCTAATATATAAGTCAATCTTTAAAAAAATTGCTCATATAAAGCTAAATATATGCATATTATCTAATGAAATTTCATATAATGCAGAACTATAGCAATTAAGGATACAAATGATGGGAGAGTTCGAGTAATCTATGATGTAAATGAAGCCATTTCAGGCCTCCAAGCCCCTATTGTCAAGGATTTGAAGGTAATAAATTTTTCTCTATCTACGTTTTGCTATGTTATTATCAGAATTTTACATTTAAAATAAGGATTAAATAGAAAATTAATTCGCTCTTAAACTATAAGTTTAGGAGAGTCTCTAAACTATTTTTGATATAATATTTTCCTTCAACATTTTAAAATAGTGCAGTATTGCCATTACCATTAAATAAATATTAATTTGGATCGTCAGTTGATCAAAAAATTATAAAAAGGAACTTAAAAAATTACAAACAAGGACCCTATAATAAAAGTAATAACTTTTTTTATGATTTTGATGTCATTTTTTTTAAATTTTTAGTCTATGGTCAAAATTAACATTTGTTTATTGTATGGATAATATTGTACCATTTTAAAATTTTAAAAGGGAACAATACACCAAAATGAGTTTAGGATTATAAACGCTCCTAAACTTATGATTTAAAAGCAAATTTGTCCTTTATTCCTAAAAATTAATAAACTAAGGCTTGCATGCTTATATGGTTATGATTAATTCTCTAATTATTTGATGTGGGACTATCATACATATAATAGTTATAAATTATAACATCATATCAAAAAAAGAAGGGAAAATTAATATGTAGATGTTTATAGTTTTTCTCAATTTTGAATTAACTTACAAGAATTAACAAATCTAATAGATCAAATTAGCTTCAATTAAAGTAAAATAAACTATTAGGACCTAATTCAAAATTGAGAAAAATTAGAAGGATTTGCATATTAATTTTTCCGAAAAAGTTAATGTACACACGCCTAGTGCATATATATCACAATATATAGTTATTTTCTTTGATTCTATTCATAAGGTATATTTTAAAAAGTCCATTTAATCTTATTTATAACTTAGGGTGCATTTTTTTGAGTAATATTTAAAAATTTAAAATTATCCTTCATGAGAGACAAAAAGTAACATGGCCTCACTTTTTAAATATTTTTTTTATATATGAACATATTTAAAATTTTACACACTTTTATTTCTTTTCCTTTTTTGCATTGGTATTGAAGAGGTTTGTAGGAATGATTTTATAAAAGGAATAAGAGGGAGCACAATATATTCTAGCTTTTATATCATTTTTCTCACATGTGTTATTCAAAAACAACAAGAAGCCTTATCTCATTAGGTTTGGTCAACTATATGAATTATATAATGTCATTGTGCTTTATCATTTATTAAACTTTTAAAAATATTATTAATTAAGAGGTCTTAATCAATAACTTTTAAAAGTGTTTTCTTTAGCCTTATTCTACCCCTTTTGACAGGGTTTAAAATTATCTATTACATTTTCTTTATAGATGACTCATGTGGTCTTTTTTAAACATGTTCAAATCGTTTTAAACGATTTTCTATCAATTCTTATGTTATTTAAAAACAAAAAACAAAAATATCATACAAATGTTTCACCATTAGATTTAAGATACTTAATTACATTATGATTGCACTTTTGGTGAGGGTGTGATGAGTACGATGATGCTGTTTATTATGTGGATATATCATCGTTCATCAGAGTGTGTGGCCAACCGAATCAGCGGCTGTGTGGAGTGAGGTTAGTGAAGCCCTAATGAGAGGAGAGTGGGACAAAGCAAGTGAAGCCAAGAAACGTGTTGAAGAAACACAAAGAGAGCTCCTCAAAGAGAGAGAATCAAGAGGACAAACCTGGACACCTAAGCACTTCACTCTTTCTCGTACTCAAGAAGGTTCTTGGGAATGTTTTCCTCTTCATCAGTGGGTCTCTCCTGCCCCCATCACTGCACTCTAGTTTCCGTCTTTGACTGAAAACTAAGGTAAGGTTAATTGGAAAAGGAGGTATTGTGAGACTCGTATTCGTATCATCTCGTATCTAGTTAATTTCATCACGTATGTTTTAATCTATTTCATCAATGGATATATATCATCATGCATGCATGCGCATGGCGACTATAGAGATGATGGAAGTGATCATTGCACTTCATTCTTGAAATAATCGCGGCTAGTTGTTTTAGGTTAATATGACTTGCTTTAATTTGGATATATATGAACTTTATATAAAGACGGGCAGTTAATTGGTTCCATTTATTACGTGACTGTAAAATTCAGAAAGATGCAATGAAGGATGATGACATGTACAAATCCATAAGAAAGATGCAAGGAGCTGAACTACTCTATAGCTAGATTTATGCGTAATTTGTGATATTTATATTTGGAAAAGAATTGTTCAAGAATCCTAACATCAAAACAATGCATGGTTTTGGTAATATGCTTATTTATTACTTATGGCGACACTTCTCTATATACAACGCATGTTACCAATTAATACAAAGTAGTTAGTTTGCACATGGGCGGATTGCGTAGAGCCCTTGTCTAATATAATGCCCAGCTTAAAGGATGAACGTGCATGCATTTGCAGCCTTTTACCCATCCGTACTTGTTCGATGTTCTAGCATTTCAGCCGGCCGGCCATCATGGGACTGCCCTATCTAAGGGGTGTCGCTACCGTGTCCATGATGATGACATGAAGAAAACTCAGGTCTTAAGATGTAGGTTTAAGGGTTATTTTTATCCCTAATCTGTATATAAAAGGTTACAAAATGCTACTACATTTAATTATTAGTTAGTCCTGTCCTTCAATTTTAAAGATTTTATTTATCATCACTATAACGTTAAAAACATTTAATATTTATTAGTCATTAGTGGGTCTAATTATTTTTTAATATTTTTATCATATTAAGGGTCATTGTTATTTCCCAACTTCTTTTTTCTCCTCGACGCAAATATTTTATTCTAAAAAATATTAAAAAAATAATATGAGGCTTATTAATGGTCAACTAATAGTGAGAATATAGCAGGGTAATCACAGAGGAAATTTTTAAAGTTGAGAGGTAAAATTGACCTATTTACTTGAGTTTAGGGCACGTGTGACCTTTCTCGTATAGTTCAGAGATAAAAATAATTTTTAATCCTAAAATATATAGAGCATATTCTTAATTAATAAGTAGAAAAAAATCCATATAAACAAGCCAAAGTGAAAAAAAAATGAACAATAAAAATTGAAATAAAAATTAAACCCCCTCACTCCTCAATTCGTAAACAACGTTGTATAATGTGCATGCATGTGAAATGTGTGTGTGATGGGACCAGGCTAAATGGGCAAGGCAACGTACATTATCTAAAGACGCCTAAATTATTTCAAACTACTTTCCTTTGTGGGTTGAATTGGGCAATTTTTCATTAGGCAGGGCTAGGCACATCAAATAATCGGGTTAGATGAACGCCCCAAAAGTAGCACTTTAAGGCAAAGGTATCACTTGGGAAGTCATGAATATTAAATATAATCACAAGCAATGTATAAATTTATGATTCTAAATGTTTTCTTTTACATTTGTGATACGTTGAAGTGTAGATTGTTGAGTCGCAATACAAGTGTTTTGGCTTTAAGGGTTAAGGTTGTCAGTGTTTCTTATTTACGAGTGTAGACTGTTAAGTGTAGATTGAGGTGCATGGGAGAAGGAAGCGCGTAAAATTAAAAGAGGAGGAAAATATGATATTTTTAAGAATATAAAATGGTCAAAAAATTTTGAGTCCTCTAATCTAATAATGAATTTTATGCTTCTTCACAATAAAGGTTAAACTTATTTAACAATCCTTAACTTGATCCTCTCTAATTTTTTCACTTTTAATTTATATTATTTAAATTAAATTTATACTATTGAAATTTAATATTTTGTATAATTAATTTAAAAAACATTAATACTTAAAAATAAATTTATAAAAGTTAAGATACTTGAATATAATTTTATTTTTATATGTTTAAAACATAAAATTGGAAAATGATAAAAATTGCAATAGTTTAAAACATGCGGAATAAATCCTTTAAAATTGAGAATATATTAATTTTATTGAACTTGGTCTTTTTAAGAAGAATAGGAAGATTTTATATTTATAAAAATTAATAAAATGAGCAAAAATATTAAAAAAAACAAATCACGTAAATTTAAAAATTTTAAATTTAGAATATTTACGTAGCCCTAAAACAATATTAATTTTGTGATAATTATAATTGCATAAGAATTATTCAAGAATCCTAACATCAAAGCAATGGTTTTGGTAATATGCTTATTTGTTACTTACGGCAACACTTCTATATGTATAGTATTATCAAAGGCAATGCATGCTACGAATTAATACAAAGTAGTTGGGCTCGGCATGGACAGATTGCATAGAGCCCTTATCAAATGCCTAACTTAAAGGATGAAATGTAGCCTTTTGTCCATCCGTACTTGATGAATATAATATCTTGAAGAATTTAATCCTTAATTAATTGAATAAATAAAGTTAATTAAGTAAATTAATATAATATACAGTTATAGAGAAATGACCAGTGTTTTAGGTCATAATTTCACCACTAAGAATGAGTCAAAGTGAAGTTGAGTCATTCAAATATCAAAAAATAAGAAAAGCAAAGAAAAATAACTCTATGTCACATGATGCAGCACATGCACGAGATGCCACGACCCATGGGCCATCAAAAAATAAGAATCCCCTCTCTATATCACATGCCACGGAGTGTGGTATAGGCGCCATGACACATAGTATATTTTCTACATAAATAAGACACGAAAACAGACAAAAAAATAGAATAGAAACACAAAGATAAATAAAGAAGCTCGTGGAAACCTTTGCTAGAGCTTTGGATTTAGAAGTATTGAGAGTGTTTTGAAGCTTCTTAACATTATAGGTAAGACTTTTAAGCTCTTTCCCTCTCTTCCTCATGCATTTTCTTGAATTTAGAAGTTAGGGTTTAGTTGGGAAAGATGATTTTCAATCTATAAAGACTATGGATCTAAATTCATTAACTTAAATAGAGTTAATGAAAGTTTTTTGAGCTATTTAAACCTAACTTTTATGATTCTATATGTTTTTTATTGTTGGAAGTCATAAATATTCGAAATTTCCACTATTAATGAGGTGGTTAGAGCAATATGGCTTCAATAATAGTTATTTAGGAGTTCAATAGAGTTAAAGGAAGTTAGAGAAAGCTAATAAACCCTATGAGTACCTTTATATTTGAGAAAATTGAATTTTGAGAATGTTTAAGTGTTAAGCTAGATGTTGAAAATGACCAAAAAAAGGATATTAATGATTAATATTATAATTAAATGTAGAATGAATATAATTAGCACAATTCAAGATTTGTGAAAAGCTTTGAAAATGTTTAATTAATAGGTAAACATTTGACTTCTCAAAAATTTGAGATGATCAGTGAAATTCTTTCTTATATTTTTGTGTGTTAATTAATCTATTGATTTATTTGTTACAATTGAAATGTGTAAAATTTCTTCATGCAAGTGTAGCATGAAATATCTACAAATTTAATATTTTAATTTTATGGAGTTCAACAACATAGCTTGTGGAGTTCAATGATGTGTTTGTATGAAGTCCAATGATATGATGAAAGAAGTTCAATGATATGATGTATGAAGTTCAACGCTATAATGTTTATGGAGTTCAATGAATGAGTAAAGTGAGAGGTCGATGATGTGAAATGAAGTGGAGTTCAACAATAGACTTGTGTGTGTGTTATGTGATGTCTATTTATGACTAGAGTACAATGATAAAACTTGTGCATGCATGTATAATGAATATTTGCATACTATGATATATTGCATTTTATCCATTGCATGATCATGTGTGTGGGAGTTCGCATAAGAAGAGGAGTAATGAGTTTAAAATCTATGTGGTGAGGTTTCCATCAGAGATTAATGGTTTGCCTGAATTTGTTTATATTTATCCTTCTACTTGTTTAATGAGAAATTGTCTCACTTGTTCAACGAGGGATTTGAAACTAACTAATTTTTTCACTTGTTCAACGAGAAAGTTAGTTTAGGGTGAATGACAAACCATAGTATGAGATTTGAAAAAAATTGTGACCTACAAGTGAGTTAAGTGACCTTGTCTGAGTAGCCCCTCATGCGTGAATAGCTAAGGTAGTATCATATCATAGATGATCCCAATGAGTTATAACCCACGGTTTCATGTCAGAGGCATAAAGAGAATATAAGGGAGATGTGATCATGCATAATGTAAAAGGGGCACATGGTTTTCTGTGTTGTGTTGCTTAGATTGAGAACACATGATATTATTTACGATTAATGTTACAAATTATGAACAAATGTAATTTGTGAATCATGATTATGGTTATTGTTGATGAACATTGTATTTATATGTGATAAATTTTTCAATTTGATGTGGGTATGATAACAATTTTCACTTGCATTTAGATTAGTTGACATGCTTAGTATGCGTTACAAATATATTAGTTATTAAGTGATTGTACCTACCCTTTTATCTTCAATATTGTAGGAGTTAGTTCATTGGGACATGACCGAGAGAAACAAACTAAGGCATAGAACTTTGATCTTAAATCTGTAAGCCTCTTTATTTTAAGTATTACATGTGTATACTTATTGATGGCGTTGCCAACTAAGAGTTTACATGTGTATTTGCTTGCATTATGTATTGTTTTTGTTAAAACATGTATTTTGGGCCCTAGATTGAGTATATGTGTGAATTGTAAAATCTAGAAAGGGTCAAAATACTAATGCAAGTAAGAAGCGAGTAAAAATGTGATTATAGTTGAATGATTTATGATGATTATGATAACGAGGCTTCCCTTTCTATTTTGTAATTAAAGGGTTGAGCATTGGAAACATGTTATATATGATATTTATAAGATATGGTGCATTGCACAGGTCTGTTATGGTCTATTGAGTGTGGTCTATGGTGTGAATTTGGCTTTTGGCACTCAAAATGTGTATTGGGCACTCAAGTTGTGTAATATGATTAAGGAGGAGGAAGTTTAAAATGGGTGTCCAGTTTTTTATTGTAAAATATTATGATTGTAAAATTAGTACTATTAGCTAAAGTTATGAGAAAACTTTTTATAAACACTTAGATCGCCTCAATCAGATGTTGGATGAAAAATAAAACACATTAAAAGTTCACCTGTGTTGTTATCAAATGACAGCAGCAAAGTTGTCAAAAATGTACAATGCGCTATCGCGCATGGCATAAAGGCAAACGTGCTGTGAAGCATGTATGACAAGTCATGACACACGTCTATTTTTTGTAATGTTTTATTGTTTTCAACTTTTATGCAAATGTTTTAACTCATTTTAGATTCTCATTCTTCTGCATACTAATTAAACTCTAATTATTGACTTACAAAGATATTTTGGAGAGTTTTAAATTTTGAAAAACTTGGGATCCTAATTTAAAATTTTACAAATTTGATAATCTTATTTAGGATAATACCTTGATTGCCTTAAATTTGGAGTTAACGGAGAATAGTAAAGGAGACCTTACATTA